CAATATTTTGTTGAACTAATGTCAATACCTTAAGTCCAGTTCATGGTAAACTTCAGAAAAACATTTTTTTTTCTTGGAGATTCCATCTGATATTCTCAGACCAGTTCATTACACCTCACAGCTCTGTTGAAGCAAAGCATAACAAAGGCATCCTGTTAGCATGAGATTTGTTCAATACATACTTTTCCGCCAAGCCATAGACCCTGTATATCCCATATCTGGCATCAATCACACAAAAGTACAGTGTATGTGCTGTGGAGTTCTCAGGGTATGTGTTGAATGGTAATCATTGAAGACGCATTGAAGACATTCAGTGATTACCAATATGTGTTTATTCAGCATCCTTTTAAAATTAGCTCTCTTTATTTATTTATTTTTTTTTTTTTTTGGTTTTTCGAGACAGGGTTTCTCTGTGTAGCTTTGCGCCTTTCCTGGAACTCACTTGGTAGTCCAGGCTGGCCTCGAACTCACAGAGATGTGATGGGATTAAAGGCGTGCACCACCACCGCCCGGCTAAAATTAGCTCTCTTTATAAGGTAATGTTTGTCAATGAAGGAAGACCTTGTAGGGATGGAGCGCATACATTATACCTAGGGTTGCTTCATTCCCTTCTCCTGGGATTTATCGAATACTGCCCTTGAGACCTCTTATAAATGAGGTCCTGAAGCCACAAATCCAGTCACCTTGTAGATTAAATGAGGAAGAAAGGACATGTTCAGCCTTTATCTTTGGGGCACAGTAAATCAGGACATGCTTTAGAGATTCTTCCTTGGGCATTCTACTAGGAGAAAGAGTGTTTCTAAAGTCAACAGCCCTGCATGCTCTTATATTACTGGTCATGCTCAATGGAGTCTTTTGCACAATGCTCTTTTCTGCATGATAGCTATCTCAGTAACTCTGGAGAAATAGAGGGTAGATCACGTTTAGTGATGAAGCTTTTGGGTGCTGTTATGGCCCCCAAACTGGTTTCTTTATTGTGGAATAACATTTCCAGGTTTCTCTTGATGGTCCATGTCTTGCTTAGGAAACTAGTCTGCTATATGATCTGAGGAAATATATGAACTCACATGAGTAAAGGATTAGTTGACTCAAAATTCTGTGGAAAGCAGGTTTCCCTATAGACTAAGGTGGTGTTAAGTACTCCTGGAAGACTCTCTTCTATACAAAGTTACTGATTCAAATCATTAGGGAGCCTTGTACATAAAACAAGAGAAGACGCCTTTTGAACTCCCTGGAATCTTATCTCCACCTAAAATTCCAGCATCCAATTTAGAATTCAGGAAGAGAAATTTAAATTGTTTGTTAAAAACTATGCTTGGAAATGGATGCAGTTGGAGCTCCTCAGCCCCTGTCTTAGGGGCTTACCTCTCTAAGTGGGTCTTCAGTTTTGCTTCCTGGTGGGATGAATGCGTACAGACTAAATGCTCCTCTAAGCAACCATGCATCACACCTGTCTGTTTCCATCTGTGTACTTAACACTGACTTATCAGCAGCTGCTTAACATTTTGCAGCATGGTGTTCCTCCTCCCTCACCATTTCCTCCTTCTTAATATTCCCTGTTTGCAACAGAGCTCTGTATTTTAAATATTTTAGACTCAGCAGCAGTAAATGTTTTCAGGCTTTGGATAACACTATCAAGGCTAAGACAGAGTGAGTTTAAAACATCTGTGATGCCAAACTTCAAGGAAAAGAAAAAATAGCATAGCATTGTTTGTCAGACTCTCACTAAACATTGTCACTCAGAATCAGTCCCATTTGTGTATGAAAACTTCTCTTGTGGGATATGCAAAAGAAAGGCTTGGGATTTTTTTCTATGAGAAAAGGACATCATCTTTTCTAGCTGAAGAATAGAAGCTTTTAAATTACTCTCTGGTTTGCAGGAAAAATAAATAACTCTAAGAAGAATGGCAGGCCTATTGTGGGGCTGTTATTAAGATTTTAAAACAACAGAGCTACTGAAAAACCCATTTCAAGTGGTGGCTGTCACTGGAAGACTCACTTTGAACCCAAGAATGTTATATTCCAAATTGAATCATGGGAAAGAAAAGTTCCTCAGGCGTACATCCTGGGGATCAGGCTGCTTTTCCTGAGCCTCTGGTTGCTAAGCCTCTTGGTCCCTGTTTACCTCTTAGTTTTGTGAGCAGGAGACTGAGAGAAATAAGATCTCCTCTGGTTCATTTTCCTCCTGTAAGCAAAGCCTTCCCCTGTATTTTCTCAGGCCATTGAAATAGAAAAAGTGGGAGGAGGCAAAAAGTATGGCTGCCATACCTGGTGGGAAATCACTGGAGTTCAACTCGTCATCCTCTTGGTCCACTTACAATAAGAGTGCTGCTTTGTGTGTCTAATTATTGAAGCCTAATCACTCTTGCACTAAAATCAACATGGTGCAGTAAAACGTGTACCACATCCCCAGGAGGGAGACCCAATCAGACCCCTTCCTCTTCTGTTACTGGTGACCTTATTTATAGTCTTATTCAAAAGTGAACTTTGTCAAAGATTCAAAGTCATACCCTCCAGGCATCAGCGCTCTGCACTGCATTCCTAAAACTAGTGTTATAAGGAGGTAGGTAATGAAGTTTGGCTTCACAAGTGGAAATTACTAATTTATTAGAGTGCTTTGAGGTGGAAAATAGGCATGCAGATAAAGGAAAACCCACAGATGCATTCCACAAAGTCTTTAAAAAGCACTTTTGAAAATGTTCCACACCAAGAGTTACTAATAAATGCAAACGCTATATTCCTGGGGTGAAAGAACACTCTTTTATCTCAGAAAGTGAACTTGCTTAAGAGATGAAAATAAAATGCTCAGAAAACACACGATCATTTCCTGTACAGCAAAAAACTAGAAGGGGGTAAGAATGAGGATCCCTGGGGCCGGTGTGGAGATGGATTATGTTTAACATGCATCTTGCATCGCTCTGGTGGATAGCATCATTGACTCTGCTGGCAATGCTCCCTGATAAACACTTTCAAAGAGGTCACAGGCATGACCCAGCAATCAGAATCCTTACATCTTGACTGACACCTTGCAGTCAGAGCCAATTTATCATATGCCAAAAATTCTGCTGAGAACTTTGCAGTGATTAATTATGCTGTTCTAAACAACAAATCTAGAAGATACTACTAAACCCGATTTGTAGTCTAAAAAGTTGACTTTCAGGGCAGTTAAATAACTTCTCCACATCACACAGTGAAAGGCAGAGATCCAAGCATACATGATACAGTTGTTTTCAGTAAGGACGTAAGAGAAGACAATGGACATCACTGAGGCTTGCTTACTAAAGTGCTGCTTCTGTTTGCAGCTCCTCACAAAAGCCTGATCTATTTGTAAGCCTTTGCTGGCTATCCACTGCCCTTTTTGGAATAGCTAGATCTTGTAGGAAGAAAGATGGGAAACAAAAACAGAACCAGAGTACAAATGAGCAAATGGGTGGGTTTTCTTCTTTGCTGCTGCTTAGGAATTCCTTTTTTTTTTCAGTGTGTGTGTGTGTGTGTGTGTGTGTGTGTGTGTGTGTGTGTGTGTGTATGTATGTGTGTGTGTGTGTGTGTGTGTGTGTGTGTGTGTTATGTGTGTACAAACATGCACACATGTGCATTCAAAAAAACCTCAGGTACATTATAACAATGTGGGTTTCTGAAGCCCTTTTGGAGGTAATGGCAGGTGGAATGATTGTGAGCTGATTTTCAAGAGTACCCAACAGAGAAAATAATGAAAAAAAAATCAGCTATTTACTGCCAGAAACCCAGTTCTGGTAGAGGCTGGGGACAAGAATGAACAGAACTGCCTTTCTCAAACAAGACTCTTGGTGGAGTGCCTGTATGGACACGGAGGGCAGAGACATAGCATTGCCATCCTTTATACTTTAAGATAGCTTTAATCAAGCAAAATTGAATTTGTGTCAGGTTCTGCTTAGACACAGCTCTAGGATTTTCATTTATCAATGAATTTATATTGGTGTATAATTCATTGTCTTGATGGTGAACCTCTGTTCAAGAGCTTCATGTACATGTTTCTTCTCAAAGATGAGAAACTTAGAAAGAAAAGGAACTGTGGCTTCCTTATTCTGTGTGCTCTTTAACACCCCACAAGGCCAGCACAACAACAATTGAGCTGAATTTCACTGGGCATATTAAATAGCAATTTCTCTGTCTCTGATCAAAAGGAGATGTTATTTAGTTTAAGGTTTCAACTGTTCTTTAATTCTATTTGTAAATCATGTAACATCATATTTATGTAACACATATTTATGTCATCATAGACAGTATACATTATCAAAAGTAAACGTTGTCCTCAACTACACTTTAGAATAATTGCACCATCATAGTATCAAACAGGGTCTGTACTTTAAAGTAATAGATAAACTTTTGGAAGGAATTAAAATACATCAATTAAATAATTAAAATAAAGTAAAATAAAAAATAATAGTCCATGCTCTGAACACAGGAATTTTGTATTGTGTATTTTCCTCAGTGACATCTAAACCCCCCACCCCACCCACACACACACATATCACAAACACTCTGTAGGCTACTACTTCCCATTAATTGATGAAAAACAGGCATTGGACTGTGTGGAAAAAAAAAAAAAAGCAAAGACAGATAAATAAAAATCTTGTTTCTTCCTAGTACACTAGTCAACATCAAAGAAATAAACAATCTGAACCGTTCACCGTAACTATAAAGTATGCTGCATTTGTTCTAACATTTCCCCACCTGGAAACACGGGGCTTAACTGTCTTCTGCAATCAACAAGCCTTCTTCCCAAAGTACCCTGTCACCTTTGGAGCAACTGGGCACTTGCTGGCATGAAACCTAGGGGTGGTGGTGGTGATTTTAAAGGTTGTGGTGTCGGAATTGCAGATGCAGAGCTGAGCTCTGAGGACACGGACATGGAGAGATGCAGAAAAGAGCTGGGAGAGAAAGCTGTCATATTTGCTCGGAAGAACCGCCAAATCAGAGCGCAGAGAAGATTTCATTGGAGGAGTCCCTTCAATGGCAACTAATCCTGTCAGATCGAAAGAAAATTGTAAATGTTCTCTCCAGAAACTGTCCGCCCATTGCAGCTAATCGAACACAACCCACAAATAGAGACACACCACTCTTGCTCTGCTGCTACACACAGCGGGTGAGGGCGCAGAGACCCGTTCTGGGGAGCAGGCACGCGGGGGCACAGACACACACACTCGCACACGCACACGCACACGCCAGCCTGCGGGCTTGGCCAGAGCCCTGAAGTCGCAGATCCCACTCGGAAATCGCCAGAGGCGCTGGGAGAAGTGGAAGAGCGCGGCTTGCAGACTCTAATTACTACTTTCCCGGCACTCGGGTGAAGAAATGAAGCCCGCCCAGCTCTTCGACATATCCAGGTCTCCTTTCTATTTCGGTGTCCACGGTCATCTCCCTGAAAGCCAGGTTCGAAAGTCTTATTTGTCTGTCTTTTGGGGGTGTAATGTTGAAGGTGGCGCACAGAGGCAAATTAACTCCAGTCTGAACAGCCCTTTGGGTCCCAGTCTAGCCAAGCTGCAGGACCGATGTAAGGTGCCCGGCAGCTATCCCGGAGCCTTGGGGTCCGCAGTCTGCCCGCCTCCCCCGCCCCACCCGTCTAAGTGCAGCGGGGACAACTAATCTTTCGCTTTTCTCTTGCAAGATCCAGGGAGAAGGAGAGCGGACAGCTAGCTGCGGACTCTAAGCTGTGCAGCAGGCGCCAGAGCGGGGCCAACTCGAGCCCGCCAAAGGCTCCTTGCTCCGGTCAGACTCCACCAGATCGCAGCCCCGGGCGACTAAGTCAGCTACAGGTAAAGACAATGCCACACCACCCGGTTCTCCGATTGCCCACGCCAAGGGCCCTGGTACCTTGCAGCTCCTCCCAATCACCCGACCCTGGCCGCAGAGGGGCTGGGTCTGGAGGAATTGTTTGGTGGTCCTCTGCACGTGCAGGTTTTCCAATGGAAACTTTAGCATCTGGGGCTCGCAGGAGAGCACACATACCTTGGCGGATCTGGGAGTGGGGAGGGGGCCCAGCTGGGACTAGGGTACCATTGGGGTCGCCAAGTCCAGGGAAATGTGGCGAAAGCTGCCTGTGAGCGGCGCTACCTTAGCATGGCTCTGTCTTTGAGCTTAACATCTGACCCTTCTCCTCTTCATCCCCCACCCCTATCCCCAAATCCAGATGCTGCCTTGGGGAAGGCAAAGACAGCTCAGTCTCTCCAGCCGCTCAATCCCCTTAGCTCTGTCCCCCTAGGGTCTGAGCACACTGCGTTTAGGGTGGAGGCCCCTCTCATTCCCGTTCCCACTCCACACTGTCGTGTGACTCCGCCTTGGGAGAGAGCCTTTGCATGAGAGAGATAGGTTTGCTGCTGCGGTCCGCGGACCTTGGCCAAAGGGCAGGGAAAATAAGGTTCTAGGGAAGGTTCCCAGGAAGAGAGAGAGAGGAGCCCTCTGCAAGCCAATTTTCCTCTGGGGGCGCACAAGGTTGATTGTCCACTGTGGCTGAGGGAAGGGACCCCAGTCCAGAGCTGGTGAGGTCTCAGACTATGCGGGAGCTTGGCCACCCAACTCATGGTGGGTACTGGGCCACTCTGCAAGTCACAGATAGGGGACCACTGTGCCGCAAATGACCTTTACTATTGGCATCTGCGGAGCAGGGCGATCCCCACTAACTTGTGGCTCTGGGAGCCTGTGAGGTGCGATCCAAACCCAGTTGCAGACAAAAAACACAGAAATTCCACCTGTGCGCTCCACCCTTCCATGTCCCTGGAGGGTCACAAGCTGAGCAGGAGGAGAGGCTTGCTTTGTAGAGCATTCCAGGGGTAAGGATTCACCCAAATTGTTGACACCTACCGGGGTGAAGGGGCACACTCTGCCTCTCTCCTCCGATATATGCATCCTATGCTTTCCCCCTTTCTATCTCTGTCATTCTGCTCCCTCGAGGCTCTTCAGAGCCACAAAATAGTCCAAGGGAGGGTCGACCGGTCTTTCAGTCCCTTTCTGTGATGCAGACTCTGGAGCTTGTGTGCATATAACCGCGGAGAGAAGCGCTCCCTGCCAAGAGGCGGGAGGAGGGCAGAGAAATGGAAGTAAATGCTTAAGGCAAGTAGAAATGCCCGCTGACACGTCACCCCAGCTGCCCTCTCATGTCCTTGTGTCACTTCACGGTCCCTGTGCGTCTGTTCCTGCAACCCCACTGCTCCAAATCTTCCCATGGGGTGGGGGTGGGGGCGAAGGGAGCGGGTTAAATCTTCGGACCTCGCTCCTATGCTCCAGGTCCGGAATCTCCCACGCTGACTTACATTCCTCTCTACTCCTCCCCCCCCCCCCCTTCATCTAGTTTTGATTTTCTTGCTCTTTCTTTTGCACTGGGTGGCTGTGGGTATATGAAAATCTTATTATGTTCAGTCCCTCCAGCCACAAGCAGCCAGCGACACAAACCCACAGCCCAGCGCTCTGCCTTACAGGCTTTAGAGCTCCAGTGCCCAGCCACCATTGGGCATTCCCCCAGCATCTGCAGCCTTGGCCATCTTTGCCTAGGCTTCTGCCTAGATCCAGCTGAGTGGTGAGGGAAGTTGTTCCCACTCCTTGGAGAAATCCTAGGGCACTTAGACAGACCTTGGTAATTTGATGTAACAGTGTAGTAGGGAGGCTGTGCTGGGGTATTTCGGAGAGGTGAACACCTCTGAGGTGCGGTGGGAGGCGATTTTCCTGTTCCAACACTGGGTGCCTTGCCCCAGCCCAACTAGTTGCAGGTTTTTTTTCTAATCTGCTCCAGAGTAGTCTGATGCCAGAGTGCCAGAGTGGGCCTGCGCCTTCCTTCTCTTCCTTGCAGTTGGCGTATGCCTGGATTCAGACGTCTTCCCTCAAAGAATCAGCTGAGCTCAGAAACTCCGGGTTAACCAACTCCGGGTTGCAGGGCAAAGGTTTTCACAATGTTTTCTGCAATTAACTGTCTTGATAAACGTACAGGTGGATATTCATTTTTTCATTGCTAAGCAATAATGGGGATGTTGATTCACTTAACATAGAAACCCCTCACAGTCCCTAGGTTGTCTTGAAGAATATTACAAAGACGCTGATGACTGTAGAGATAAAACCAGTCAATTTAGCCAAGACACAGTTTCATGCTGAGAACTGTATTGGGTTCCAATTGAGAAAGGGCACTTTTGAGACTGTAGTCAAGTGGATGGAAGAAGTTTGTGCCAACAATGTCACAGCCTTGCCTTAGGAAAAGGACTAAGGAAGTCACGTTAAAGCCAGAAGAGCTCTGATTGTCACACTGTTATTAATAATGTGTTGAAATTTTGGCTATATACTTGATAAGCTACTTCTCATCCATTCTCTGGACTTTCTGAGATAATAGAATATTGGCAACTATGTTTAAAAATACAAAAGAGATTCCATAAAAGATGGGAACCTCTGCCCAAGTTTGTCTGTTGCTTGGACGTTTTGTGAATATAGTGGAGTGGACATAGGAGAAAGTTGAGTCGTAGGGCCTGAAAGCCAGAGAAGGCTGTCTGACAGATGTTTTGTCGTCCTGTAAAAGGAGAAATGATGTGTGCTTATGTAAGTGTGCCTGAGGGTGCCTGGAGGGGAACTGGAGGAAGAAAATATGTGGATTGCAATATCCCTATCAGTTCAAGTGCATGAGAACCCAGAAAGCATGTTTGAAGCTCTCAACTGACTTCCGAGGCAGCTGTGGAAGAGATTAACAGTTAGAATATACTTGAAAATTTTCCTGCAAAGAGCTCCCATGGGCAATCACTTTTTTTTTTGGAGGGGGCATAAACTGCTATCTTTAAAAACAAAAATGGCAGATTTCTCTATAAGTGACTTTTTATCTTTCTTTGCCCAAATAGCCCCACCACCACTACCCCAGCCAGGCAATTAGACACATTCTTAGAGGACCGTTTCCCAATTCCAATCCAGAGCAGCCCATCCCCAGGGCCAAGAGAGGTGGAGGGCTTGAGCATCTTCAGAGGTGGCCAGCCTGCTGTCTGGCAAGAAAAGAACTAACTGATGGTATGACTATCCAGTGGTCAGTATAGAGCAAGCTGACTGATAAGAAGGAATGAGTCTCCCAGGCCCACAGCAATAAATAAAGCAGAAGGAGGTGTAGAAGAATAAGAGAAGAGTGCAGGAAAGTTGGAGAGGGAGAAAGGAAAAGGAAATAGGGTAGGGGCTTCTGAAAATGACCTTAATAGAACATGGTTCATGGTTCAGCATCCACTCCCAACACTGGTCTTGACACCTAGCTCTGTGAAACAATGTTCCCAATGATCTTCCTATATAACTACCTAGAGACCTTTCTTCATCTGATCTTAAGACGTCTTTATTTCTTTTTCTTTTACTCTTTTAATTGGTGAGATAGAGACTGACAAACAACTGACAAACAGAGTTCCCTTGAAGGACTGGTTTTCCTCATTAAAATTATGTTTGCACTGATACATTATTTCAGATGTCCATGCTGTGTTCCCTCAAGGACTCATGTGTCTTAAACCCTGTTAATATCCCCCTTGTGACTTCTAACATCTCATTTGTTCCCACTCTGTTTCCTTCTGTCCGTTGAGCAGATGTTCCAACCCCTTTCATTAGTGGTCAGTAGTGCAAGTGTACTGTCTGCACATCCTAGGCTCTGCTGGGTTGTTTTCTGGTGTGATAATATGTACATCATGTGTACATGCATGCTCCTGTGTGTGTGCATATGAGAGAGAGAGAGAGAGAGAGAGAGAGAGAGAGAGAGAGAGAGAGAGAGAGAGAGAGAGAGAGAGGTGGTATGGCTCATGGGAAGCAGGTCATCTTTCCCTAGGCACTTTCAAACTATGATAAATCCGCGGCAACTTTCCTAAGCAGCTTACATGCATTATATTATCTGTTTTGCTACAAATCCTTACACTATTTTAAATAGTGTCAAGCACATACTAGGTACTTAATAAATCTTTGCTGAATGGATCCATTTTCTCATTGCAAAAATTCTAGGACATAGATACTGTTTTTCTTGATTTTACAGGAGTGGAAAACCACAGTCACAGAGATCCAGTGATGACCCCAAATCACAAAGCTAGTATGTTGCATCCCCAAGACGCAAACACAGCCTGTTGGACTCCTGGGTTATCTGGTACTGCACCAACTGACTATATACAGAGACATATCTTGTATTTAGCCTGTGTTTGGGGAAATATCACCGTGATATTCAGTTTTCAATCATGTTCTCTCAATCCGTTTAATTCGACTCTGCCTTTTCTGATTAGATCCCCTACATCCCAGCAAAGAAGAATCAGTGCCAACTAAATTCTTAGTTGGCACAACATGCTTACTCTACTTAGCTAGCTGTTATCCCTGGTTGAAGAAAGCAAAGACATTAAGGTTACCAGGCATTTTGCCAGGTGCCACATCCACCTCTCAGCTAAAAGGCAAGAGGACAACATAGAATTCTAATGTCTTCCAGTTGAACTCATGATAAGTAGTTAAAGAGAATCCCTCAAAGTGAAACATCTAAGCACTTCATGAGAAACTTCACAAGTCAAAGTCCATTCAAGCTGTCTCATCCTTGTATTATGGTGAACGAATTGCTCTCTGTCATTATTATTTTTTCTTTCTGACACTCAGGTTCTGAGTTTCAATGGGTTCTTTTAATTTTAATCTGGCTTTATTGTTGACCTCTGCTTTGCAAGGCAAATGTGACTTTGTGAACTGCTATCAGCTGAGGAGGAGGAAGAGGAGAAGGCTTGCAACTTCTATGCTGTCTATTCTTGTCTTCACTTCATTTTCTTCTTTCTTCTCACATGCTGAAGTTCCTTTTATA